CAAATAATGTAAAGCATAGCACATTGACGAGACCCCTTCGACCGACTCGCAGCTGGGGCACCTTTGAGCCTTGCTCCTTCTCCTCATCAGGGTATGTCCATCACAAGGTCGCAAAGTTTCCATTCAAGTTGCATCTTGGATTCTTCATGCGACACCTGTGGCTAGAGTGCATAAGGAAATATCTGCATGGCTCCATCTTAGCAGAGCCAACCCCAATCAAGTACTCTCCGTTGCTCTTCGCTTGCACAACCTGGTCGGGTGCCTGCGAGTCAAGGACAAAGATGTCTTTCTTTTCTGGACCTGGAAAAGACATCGGAAAGGAGCTAGACAAACATGAATGCAGCATGAACACTTCAGCTGACAGGTCACAAGTCGGCATAAATGGGATGGGACAATCTCGGCCATCTAGACCTATCTTGGCAAACCGGTCACATAATATGGTCATGTAGTAAAGTATAATAAAGGTGTGCTTCTTACAAATGTACTTGTAGTCTTGTAGTCATGTAACCGTGTAGTGATCAGCCTTTGGCAGGATTTGGATAAGGCAATGTCAATGAAGCTGTGGACTCTCATGCTTGACAACTCTCAGTGTTCAAAGAGCGCCAGCACAGGGTCAACTCTCGTCTTGTTCTGTCCCTTGTCCACTTGAACGGTACTCTAGACTTTAGTGTTTGAAGGCTCGACTCCCACATCCGACACCTTCTTTGTCCTTGCGGTCTGCTCGCTGTTTCTTGAAGTCCTCGTTTTCTTGCCGGGGCCTGGCCAGTCTGACGGGAAGTCTGTGGAGTCGAGCCGAGAACTAATCTGGAACCGCAGTCCCTCCGTCCCTCCATTTCTCCACAGCCTCCAGGACCTGTAGGTTTGTCCATTGGAGTTGGGAAAAAATGGATAAGAAAGGTCTTATATTTGGAGGCCATTGCTGTCAGATTGGAGGCATCGCTCTTAGGTTCGAGGCCAGTAGGCCTCCGAGGCCATTGCTACTAGGTTAGGTCTCTTCCCTACATTCTTTTTAACATTTTGCACCATACCTCTTGAGAACCACGGCATGACCTGTCCGACAACGCAATCACCAATGATCATGCATCCCCTGTCACGGATTCAGGTTTCAACACCTTACTGTATTTGAGGTCTTAGCTTAGTGACCTAGAACTACCATCCCAACTAAATGGAAGCAACCAAGACCGAAGACCTCCTAAAAGTCGCAGCCACGCCTTGCAAGGCTTTTGGGAGCTTCTGTCTGTGTTGCCTGGCTTTCGGTGCAAACTGCGGCATGCGGAGCTGCAATCGGGTGCCTTCTGACCCACGTGACTTTGATTTCATCAGTGGCTCTTCAACTTACAGCTTTACAAACAGAGTATAAACGGCTGTAAAGAAAAATGAAGACTGTAAGCCGTAAGCGCTTCAGCGCCCCCCATAACCATCACTTCCGCGGGGAGGCTGCAAGCAAATGCTGCTTGATTTCTGTCTCCCCTCTCTTGGATGCCGCACAGGAAGGCTTGCGGAAGCCTTTGGCTTCTGTTCACTCTCAGCCTCAGCAGACTGCAAAACGTTCTGATCGACAAATTCCAAAATAACAAACAACATAATAAGCCCCACCCTCGGAAACATTCAGAAACAATCGGTGGGAGGTATCAATTCATGGTTTTCAAGTGATGGAGCAGTGTGGCTTTCGTGTCCACCGATACTCTGGGTATGTTCCTCAGCATGTTTACAGCGGAAAAGCAAACAAAGCACGACATGAACATCCATAGCCAAACTAGAAACGGAACTCGCTCGTCAGTGTTTCTGACCGATAGTCCTTGAGTTCCTCTGTTTTGTGTCTCAACCCTCAACCGGAAACGGCAGTGTTTGCGAAGTCTTCAGCATCCAGGAGGGTTTGGAAACAATTTATAGCTTCTGCAAGCGGAACGCCACAGCATGCTTCTGAATAAAAAGTCTTATGGTTCACAACTCTTCTACAATCAATGGTGTATGATCTGCATGATGCAGTCATATCAACTTCCCTCAGCCTATCTCATGTAAACTGGGAATTGTTGGGACTCTTTGGTACTATCCCTAGCTGTTCCTCAGCTCCATCAGACCCACTTTGTACATCCATTGCTGGCTGTGAGAAAGGCTTAAGTTTCCCTAAAAATCTAGGAACCAAATCATTAGTGCAAGCGCTTGCTGTCTCTTTCCAGTAACTAGCAGCTTCAGTAGCTAGTAGCTTATTTCTTTACTTAATTAAGTAGGTGCCTACTTAATTAAGTAGGGAGTGGGGAGCGGGCAAAAATAGAAGAATTTGAAAAAACACACTTTTAGATCTGTCCAAGAGCGCGGCCACTCCAACGCGACGCGTGCTGGCTGTGCTGGTGGTCTCCTCGCTCCGTCGGGAGGACAAGGAAGAAGTATCCTCGCGGTGAGATTGCAGCGATCCAGGTTTAGAAGAATGCATCTGAAATTCACATGTTTTACATTTACGAACTGGAATAACTGAAAAAATTGCAAGCAGAACCCAGGAAATGAGCCCCGAAGGGACCTGTGTTGAGCCAAACGTCCTTGGCAGCGTCAACGGACTGTTTGACGGTGGCCGTCGCTGGTTTGGACGTCGGCCGGGTGGTGAGAAGGGACTTGTCGGCGAGAAAAGCGTTCAACTGGCAGTGAGATTCTGTGCGAGGCCGGTGAGGTGAGGGAAAGCTCTGGGATTGATTCTTTACATCTTAAGACTCGATGGAATTCGACTCTCTGGTGGATAGGGGAGTGGCTTGTTGTCACGTCTATATTGGAAATGTAGTTGTTATAAGTTATAACTGTCAGACTCTTTAAATGAGGTTCAGGTTTGAGGGGCTGACACAGCTCGACAAATTTCCACAAGTTTCTACACCGCCCCTGCACTCGTTGTAGCAATCGTAGAGAGAACCCTGTGCATAGGTGTTGCAAGAGGAACTCTAACACATGCTTGCCAACATCTTTTTACAAGCCTCAAGGCTTGATGGAACCATTTCAAACCTCAGCGTCTTTTACACCGCCTTTGGGGGAACAGTTTCTTACACCGCACCTGCAAAGGAATCTGTGAGAGTTTGCCCCTCTTGTCACAACGCTATACGTCCTAATCAATCCCATTGCATTTACTCTAAACTGTTTGACTGATCATCCACCAAAATGAAAGAGGGGCCACTGCAATGAACATATACATTGGCGCAAAAGTCCCGTTATCCCTCTGCCTTCCCTCCCTCCGCGCCAGATCATCCAGATCTATCTTAATGGCAAACGGCAAGACAAACATGGTCTTGCCTGCGCGAAAAAGATAACTGAAAGCTGGTAGGGACTTCCATGAACCCCAAAGACCGACAGAGTAAATGTTTCGCAAGTAGTTCCTTGGCATGTTACAAGGCATCTTACAAGAAACGTTTGTGGTTTGTTTGGTGCAACTCTCAACTCATACTGTGAACAAGTGCTACCCCTAGATCGAAACATGTGATCCCTCGTTTCTGTTCCGTGGAGTGCGGCTTGTGACTTAGTCCACTCAGAGTCCACTCAGAGTCCACTCATGTCATCTCATGTCATCTCTCAAAATTGGCATCCGAATCTGTGCTGCTCGCCTTGGACCAGCTGAATCTTGCACCCGCCGTCCTCTGCAGCAATCCTCAGGTTTTGCGTTGTGTGACACATGGTGACACAAGTACTTGAGAATCTTAGAGCGAGGCAGTGTCTAGTGTCTAGTCATCATTTTGCCACATTTTGCCATTTGCTGTGTGTGTGTTGTTCTCCAGAGGATTCCGCTGCCATAGGCTGCCAGTTCGACTTGGCGACTAACCAACAAGAAATACTGGATGTAGACAGTGCCAACATGCCAGTGGATGTTTAATGTATATTTGAAGAGATGTGTCAACAAATCCGAGGTGCTAGATCTGCGCAACTCCGAATCCGACAACTCATCTGGCCGGTTCCTTCCAAACATGCATGTCTCGAACCAAGAATAATATACGTCTCAAACAAACACCATCGGGTCACCATCGGGCCTGTCAAACCCACCCTGACCTAAGCGAGACTTATCAGTTCACCTATGCAGCCCGTTTCCGGAGTCATCGCTCCAAGGCCACGGCTGTACCTTCATGGCGAATTCTGGTTGTGAGGCCTCCAAAAGGAAGTGACTTTTGGAACCCGCTCGAAAAACATGGAAAAGCATCTTCAAGACCTCTTGGTTTATTTGGAGGTTTGGTCTCCAAATTTCCCAAACTGCATGGTTTGCAAACTATCCGTGGGTCGTGAGGAGTTCCATTTTAGGATCTGACATCTCCCATGACCTGGTCCCCGCCTCGTCTGGGGGATTTCCGAAGGCACTTCCAAGCGGAGAAGCGTGCTCGCTTGGCAGAGGGGTTTGACCGATCGGCTCGCACAGGCCGTGGCTTTGCGTCGCCCACGAACCACGTTTTCTTCGGGGTCTGACACCCGTGCTGAGCCGAAATGGGCAGATCCCGTCGACAACGGCTGTATCAGCCTTAACATTCTACGGCAATGAGATTCACAACTCCTTAAAGAACTTGAAGGCAACAACCCAAAAGCCGGGTGTCATGTAACATCACGAATGGAATAAAGCAATGTTACCATACCGTCATTCCGTAGTACATCCATGTCACGTCGATTCCTTTGCATGAGGCTGATCAGTGTAATTTGTAAACATTCGCGTAGACTGACGCCAATCTTGCTTCTGGTTACTAGTAGCGATGCCAGGAGCTACTAGTAACTAGTAGCGTCCTTGCTCCTAGTAGCGATGTCCTTTGTTACTAGTAGCTTCTTTTGAAAAGCATTCTACGTCTTGAAAGGCCGCAACAACTTTGGCATTGACCTGTGAAACGATATGACACGAGATGAAACAAGCACCCCCACCAACCCAGGGCAACCGCTTAACCATGCTTAACCCATGCCCAAATGGAGTCACCATTGTGGACACCAGGACATCTCTCAAGAATCCGCAGACCGCAAAAATGGTGCGGAATATATACTACCTCAGAAACCCTGAACTCTTCAGATTCCTCCTAGAATTGCAAAGGATTTGGTTTTTGGTCCTATGGCCTTGAATCTATGTGTATGTTCATTCGAACGAATTAGCATAAAGCCCCACAGCTTGGACCGATTCTGTGATGCTCATCCCTCACCCGTTGGTCGTCTCCCGGGGCTGCATGTGTATGGATCGATGCTCTTGACAAGGCCGCATCCTGGGCGTGACAAAGGCGAAAGAAAGGCGTTGTCTTTTGTAGGCCATTGTGCGTTTCTTTTGTCGGCTTGATTTTTTGGACGCTCATTTTTACTTCACGATTTTTAGGGATAAACTGGACATTTAAAGAAACATAACGGGCCGCTTGTGTCAACTTCTCCAAGGTGCTGGAGTGGCCCACAGAAAATCTGATCGTACTCCTCGAAACCGTTCATCCGGCGGGATGTCCAACTGATACGGCGATGACCACAGGCATTCTTGCTGGTGATGTTGCAAAGCAAAGCTGAAACGTGGAACAGCCTCAGCAGTGTCGACAATGACAATGACGTACCAAATGCAGCAACACGTCACTGCTTTTTGATGGCTGTTTTATGATTGGTGGGATTTTGAACACCATCACTTGAGCTCACTTTGGAGTCATGGAAACAAAGAGGAGAACTCGAAGGAAGCATGAATGACACCTCAAACACTTTGAACCGTCTCCTTGCCCAAAACATCCCAAACGTATTACTTCTGTTGTTGTCTTACGTTCAAACTTGATACAGTCCAGTACAAATCAAGCTTCTCCCTTCTCTTCGGGGCCACTCTCCTTGGGGTGCTACCAAATGTTTTCTCTGTGGGAGATTCATGCGCTGCTCTGCGCTTTGCGCATGTCACTCGTCCACACTTGGGGCAGGTCCGACATCATTTGCTTTATTTCAAACGTAGTATGCAAATCTCCTGCAACCTCACTCGTAATCACCGTTGTGGTGGTGGAGCTAGAGGTTTCTGGATCTGATCTACTTACTTAGGAGGTCAAGAAGCGAGAACCTTTCCTCCGCATGACCAGCAATGTTTCCTTGACCAGCTTAAACATCACGTGCAAGAGTACCAATGTACCACAAGAATATCTTCTACAGTCCTCCAGGCATATTTAATATGAGGTAGACCATGGTAGAACCTTCCAAAGTGTAGAGGATGAAGGGTAAGTGCAGTCAGCTTCCGCACCTGGTGAGACCTGAGGAAACTTGACAAGAAACTTGATAAACCCGAAAAATCAAGCTCTTGCTTCTCCGAGCCACGAGAAGGGCACCAAGAAGGCCAAGCCGAGTAGTGACCAAACCTCAAGCAACCGACAGATTCCACACAATTCCGGAAACAGCAAAGAACATCTGAATCTAGCTTCTAGCTTCTAGTTTCCTGCTTCTAGCTACACCACAGATAGCCTAAATATTTTCGATCAGGAGAAAGAAAGTCTTTCAGCCTCATGGGAATGAGACAAGTAACATTAAAACGTTCAAAGCACATTCCCTGCTGTCTAAGAGGTAAACATGCGACGTGACGAAGTTCATGCTGAGAAAGGTGAAGCCAAGAAGCAATGAAAAGAACTGCAATGATGTCAAACCACTCAAATTCCAGGAAATTTCGATGAGTCTCCTAAGAGTCTTGGCATGTCTTGGCCTGAGGCTTTTGCTTGCTGAAATAATGCTAGTTTCATGGTCCTCACTCATGGCATGTGTGAAATAGATTGAGTTCGGCTAATTTTCTCAAGTAGTACAGTAGTACAGTAAGGACTTAGCACTCAGTTGTAGGTGTTGTTAGTCACTGGTGCAAACTTTCAGTTTCTGCTTTTGCCCTGAAACCCTTAGCAATGTGTTTCGAGCACAGGTGACAGTTGAAGCTCTGCCCAAAGGGCTTTATGGGTAAAAAACATCAGCCTCAGCCTCAGCAAGCCATACCTCCAGTTCTTACACATCATCAAAAGCGAAGCAAAGTGCATTGGAGCATGTCCCATTTGAGCATGTTGGAACCCATTAGAACCCTGAAAGCTTCGTCCCAACCTCTGGGGATCACTCCATTCTCCCGTCGCTTCTTGGTTGTGTCGCTTCTCGGACGTCCTCCAGGAAGAAGTCCCACAGCGTCTTCACCAAGACGGAGGTCCATGCCAAACACCCACAAACCACCTTGGAACCAAGTGCAGATCCTATGGTCATCATATGTCATCATGATCCCACCTTGTGGCTTGCGCCTATGGTGACATATGGTCAAACATGGTGAGAAATATGGACCAGGTGGTTGCCGATGAGTGAAACTGTGGCTGTCGTCGCTGGGTGCTGACATGCTTTTCTCCAGGAGTTCTCAAAAAAGCAATGAACAGCACAAACTCCCAGTGCACTCCCCAAAGAGAAATCACAAGACCCGAACAAGACAGAACGATTCATTTTTTCATTGAACGATTCTACTGGATTCAACGGAGTCGACGGTCGAAAGTCGATTCGATCGACTCGACTCGATTGCCAGGGCTCCATGAGTGTGAAGAAGCGATGGTTCCGCATGGCGACACAGTTTCCTTTGAGATCGTTGTGCCGCTTTCCGCTCAACATGGATTTAGAGGCAATCTTTGGTTCCATGCGCAAGCTCCAACTAGAAACAACAGACTGGACAATGGATAGTCTTTCATACGGTTGGCTTGATCTTCTTAGAAATAGAGTAATGCTGATGAAATATCTGAAGAGTGAGCCCCGATTCTTAAATCCCATTTCTGGTATCAGATTGAATCATCAGCATCGGAGTCTGTAGGTGTACGCTATAAATCATCCCCACAAGCCATCTCAGATCCCCCGGAGAAAACATCAACCACTATTCACCCGCCTAACTTCTTCAAATGAACTCCCAGCATCCATCCAAACAGAGTGGGTGCCAAACACAATCAATGCTGCTCCAAACAGTGACGATGAACAGCCTAATTGAATAGTTGATTCTCGATCCTGCGTGTTTGGGTGTGGCATAAACAAAGGGTGACCGATCCCGTGGCAAGTTCACACATTGCTTGCCAAATAAATTTTCAGAGTAGTTTTAGCTAGTCCTAGGCAAATGGCAAATGTCTCACAAGTTCAATGCAAAGCAATGCCGAGTTGCCAATCAGCCAGCAGTGATGGTCCATGCGCCAAAAGCATTTCCTGTCGCGTGAGGAAACACGTCTCCTATCGTCTCCTATCGTGGACTGCTTGATGCAAGTACCTCAAGCTGAAGATGCTGACGCCGGGAGCGGCTCCCCACACGTCTCCGTACATCGGCGTCCCCCGAAAGGTCGGTCGCTCCTGCACTCAGAGCAATGCGATACCCCTGGAGGGCGCCACAAGTTGCAGCTTCGGCACCACCCTGCGAAGGTCAAACCCGAGTTTGGCGCCAATCTGATCATCTGTCGGGTGTCCAGCTGTTGGAAGAAATCGACAAGAAGAGTAGAATGTCTTGACATCAGCCCTACAATTCACAGTATTTCGGCTGTCTGCCAAGCTTTTGCTACTTGATATTATGTATACATATAGTTCAAACCCTGAGTACGAACGATGCTCCATCGCAGCATTTTGCTCAAACAAAGGACAATCATCCCCTATCATACTAAAGTTGCTGCAAATTGCTGATATCCTTTCTACTGTTGTCAAACCGTCCCTCAATAAGGTATGGGTTCAATGTGGCAAAGTGCTGTGCTCCGTCCGACTTTGCCCTCTCGGAACCTAGTGGCTCACAAACTGAGAAGGAAGAACTGTTCAAGTTCAAGACTCTCCTACCATCTCCTACCTCAAAAAGAAGTTGGCTCGATACGCCACTCCTTCCGCCCATCCCCAATATCACCATTCCGAGCTGCGATATGGCTCTTTCTCCTCCTCGTCAGAGGTTTCCCTGAGCGGCCAGCCAATCACCGCCCCCGGGCCCAAGCAGCTTGAGGGAGCGGTTCAAAACTTGCGGACGAGGCACACAACGAAGATCTCATCCTGCAAAGGAGAAGGCTTGAAGATGCTTGAAGAAGGGAGAAGGTCTTACTTGGAAGACACAGATTTCGCAAAACGTTCGCTAAAGAATAGCAGTTTTGGAATTGCTGGGTGCAAATTAGAGGGCTTGCCATTCGCCCGACCCAACCTAATTTTTGGTGACCTGTGACACAGCTACATTGATAAGATGAATCACCAACAATGCTAGAATGACGTGGGTGACTTTTTTGTGACCCTTTTCTGCTGACTACAGGCAGCAACTTAATTCCTCAAGCGGGTTGGTGAAAGATGGATGCCACATCCAGGTGTTGTGTCTTCTGATGCCTAAACCTTTTGTACTTGGTCCTTTGGGCCTTTCTTTGTTCCTTTCTTCCTTTATATATATATAGATTCCTTGGAGTTTTTACTTTTTGCTTCATAGCTGAGGCTCAACAAGCTGTTAAACGTTCCCCATCCCTGGCCCAGTCTTTGTTTGTTTAGGGCCTCCGTGGGATCTCGCGGCAACGTCACCTTGCAGGTGTGCCCGTTCACATCTGTGCTTCAGTGGACTGCCGGCTGCCGGCGGAAGGAACTACTGAAAACTACTCGCTCAATTACTTTTGATAGGGAGCAACCACAGGAAAGTAATGAAGGCCTGACACCTTTGAGAAGCCAAAGGCAGGAAAGAATCCGGCAATTACTTCTTTTACTGATGCCACATGAAAGCGCGCCTGGACCATGCATTCCATCATGCTTTTGCAATCTTTTGCAACAAATCCAAAAACGCCATCCGCACAAATAAAGGATGTTGCCAATATATATATATATATGTTCGCTAGGAACTTGCTTAGAATAACCACATCCAGCGGTGAATCTATTGAATTTAGGCAACAAACATAAGCAAGGAGCAAATGTCCGGACTAGGTTCGATCCCAAACGAAAGGTGACGAACTAATTACTCCTTCTTTGGTGAAACTGGTTGGGCAATGGGCAGCGGCCTTAACTTTTGGACTTGTGCGCCACTCCTGGAAGCTCGGTTGTTTCGGCACGACATCAAGGGTTTCGACCACTTTGTTTTTTGTTCAGTAACAAGAAGAACAAATTGTGAGGCCTAGATTCCTAGAATATTTGGATAAAGCCTTCCAACACAAGTTCTTTTTTTAATTGGGAATGCGCATGGTTTGTGCTAGAACATGACATGCTAGAATCCTATTGGGAGGGTACCTTACCACAAATAGTTGTTGCGCAACTCACGCACCTTGGCTGCCCTTGTACTAGCAGTTGTCTGTAATGGTGACATAAAGGCCGCATGCGTGATTGATTGCATTATCTCATCCAAGGTGGTTTTCTTTATTTTCGCTGAAAGCTGCTTGGAAAATCAAACGGATACAGTGCCGGTAGGACTGGCATTCGGAGGTTGTCCAACAAAATCGATTGATGGCCTTGCTCCCCTTGTGAATTGCTGCGAGCTTTTTATATGATCCTTTCCAGGCATCAAAGCTACTATTGAAGATGCCTCTTCTCTGAGCCCGGCTACTTTCCAACAATCTCTTCGCAGAATGACACAGCGATCGCAGCAAGCACATGCAAAAAGCATCTCGATTCGCCCCTGGAATTGTGCACCTTCCCACTCTTTCCGACACCCATAGCATCCGCCATCAGGGTGACACACAAGCTTGCTGAAGGCCACTCGCTTTACGTTTTCTTCGTGCATTTAGTCATCATACAAGCTAGAGTCAGGTGCGCTGGCTCCTACGAGTTGGTCATGCTATCAAACTTGAGGCCAGAGGGGGTGAACGAAAGCTAGCCGGGCCTCCTCGTCCAAACAAGTCGGGGGCGGGCTGCACAGTCACTCTCATTGGGTAACTGCCGGTCCACTTGCAAGTCCCGTGGGAAACTCTAGAGAAGCAGTGTTAGTATGTGCTTTGTGGTGCGTCGAGTCTCATTCAGTAAGCAACTGCCACCTGACAGGAGCAGGTTTTGTTTGGTGCCCCCTTTCCATCACTTCTTTGGCTTGGTTTTTCCAGCGGTTGCTGTGCCGCAGCAGCAGCAGACCACCCAGCGGCAGCAGCAGCAGCAGCAGCATACCAACCAGCGCCGCAGCAGCAGCAGAGCACCACCCAGCAGCAGCAGCAGCAGCAGCAGCAGAGCAGCAGCAGCAGCAGCAGCAGCAGCAGATCACCCAGCGCCAGCACCAGCAGCGGCAGCCCACCCAGCGCAGCAGCAGCAGCACCAGCAGACCTCCCAGTAGCAGCAGCAGCAGACTGCCCAGCAGCAGCAGCAGACCCCCCAGCAGCAGCAGCACAAGACTCAAATGACACCGCCTGACTCCACGCCGTAACTAGTAGGGCTATGATGCAAGAAATGCCGCCTGCACATTGCACCCAAAAAGGTATTACTGTCCAATGTAGCTCCTGCTGCTGCTGGGTGGTCTGCCTTGGCTGCGTCTCCTGCTGCTGCTGCGGCCGCTGCTGCTGTTGTGTTTGCTGCTGCTGCTGCTGGTGGTGCTGCTGCTGCTGCTGCCGCTGCTGCGCTGGGTGCTCTGCTAGCGCCGGGTCGTCTGCTGCTGCTGCTGCTGCTGCTGCTGGCGCTGGGTGGTCTGCTGCTGCTGCTGCTGGTGCTCTGGGTCTGCTGCTTCTGCTGCTGCTGCTCCTTTGTGGTTTGCTGCAGCTGCTTGGTGGTAGACTGCAGATGCTTGGTGTGCTGCAGCTGCTTGGTGGTCCCGCTCACCGCGCGCACGGGGGAGTCGAACCGCGGGGGGGGGGGTCCATAAGATTGATTTAATCAATTATTTGAGGTTTCTGGGGCGCGTCCACCCCGTCACTTAACTTGCTAAAGCAAGAGCAACTCCAGCTAGCTAAGGCTAGCTTTCGTGACAATTCATTTCCTGAGCCTCACAAGACCGCACCCATGTCTCCTTCAAATATTGCACCTCATCTGGATCCACTGCACCAGGATCCAAGCCATTGGACAAGGCCTAGGCAAACACGTGAAGAAGCAGCCCTCAAGTGCAGAATACCGCTTAACAACCCGCTTCTGGCCCTCGTGAGGCAGATTCTTCAAAGCCAGTTCACTCAGTACTACCGACTACGATACACCTAAGCCTACCCAGTTATTGCCCTTACCTAAGCCTACCGGGCAGCCTACCTACTGGTACCTCCTTCGATGCTCCTTCGGTCTTGGAGGTCAAAGGGCCGGGCCAAACCACAAAGGAACAGGGAAACCTGGCAAAATCGGTGCGGAAAATCCGACGCAGGATGTATCCAATCGGTGCATGAAACAGGCTGGGAGATTTGCAGACTTGATTGTGTACATAGGACCCAGCAAAGGAGAAAGACAGCGAATAACGGCACCATGCAGGGGGCTTGCAGGCTTGCAGGAATACTTAACTGGATTGGGTAGAAGCATGTAAGAAGGCGTAGCCGGTGGACAAAGTCATCGTCCTAAAAAGCTCGCTACAAGTGAAGTAACGTGGGTCCTCTTTTTCACTGTCCCCATCTCAAAGAACTCATTCTCAAACTACTCGACAAGCAAACAAACCTTATACTAGGAGCAAGAAGCTACTAGGAGCAAAGTGCATCGCTACTACTGTAGGAGCAAGGACGCTACTAGGGGCTCCTGGCCCTACTACTAGGAGCAAGAAGCTACTAAGTGAGGACCCACCACTGCAGACTGTATCCAACCCATCCCCACCAGCACGAGGAGAGCAACATTGAAGGTGGAGTTGGAGTCGAACCTCAGCCGGATTTTTCATTATCCTCACCAAACTATGGATTGCCATTCGCAATCACGTCACACTCTATGGTACCATCACCTGACAGGTTCTAGGCCATGCCGAGGACAACATGTTCTCTCTTGAAACACACCCGTCACAGTTTGTCCACCCTAGCCTACGACCATCCCAAGAGAATCTATGCTCACGGGTTGATCACCTGGTTGGACGAGAGCAAGATCTGGCTCGAAAAGGTTTCTTTGGACCCAAACATCGACCAAACACCTGTACGCAGCTTGTATGCATGGACACTCTGGTTTGAGTACAAATGGTGGGACGATGTGTGGTGTGTAAACATGAATAGTGGGATCACTCGGCACCAACATCCCTACTCATCCCCTGTTTTTCTCAAGGACTGCAGGTCAAAGTGGTTTGTGCCAAAGTGCCCTTGCTCCCGCTGCAGGATATAAAATGCTGCAGCATTGCAGGCCTGGCGAAGGCCATCGAGGCGGTTCTGAAAGCATCGAAAGGTTGATGGCGGTTATTGAACCTAAAGCAAAGCACTTGGCCTCCAAACTTGTAGCAATTTGCAAATCCAACCTAATAGCATCCTTGCTCCTAGTAGCGATGCCGGGAGCCCCTAGTAGCTTGTTGCT